CCAACTTAGCCAGCCTTCGTTCGAGTGCATCGAACTTGGAATCCAGCTTATCATCAATTTTTGCTTCTAAGCTTGCAACTCTGTCTATCTCATGCAAGCCTCCTCTCCTTCGAATGCCGGTCTCACTACCCCATTCAGTATATTCAGAGCATATCTTCTCCACCAGTTCATATGCTTCTGGTGCTTCCATTCTTGTGAAACCATTTCGGGAAGCATTATTCAGAGCATCTCGAAATTGTCTTCTGATTCCGTTGAAGAAGATGGAGATCACATTCCAACCTTCAAGACCGTGGCTCGGGCATCTCATTAGAAGCTCCTTATAGCGCTCCCATGCCTTGGTCAGACTTTCATCCTCAGCTTGTTTAAAAGTGACAATTTCCTCTTGCCTCTTCATTGCCTTGGCAGGAGGAAAGTACTTATCCAAAAATACCTTCTCAAGCTGACCCCATGTCGTGATGGAACGTGGTGTTAAGTTCTGAAACCAGTGTGATGCATTCCCTAGCAGAGAAAATGAGAACATCCGAAGACGGATGGCATCATCAGACATAGCCGGGCTCTTCATTGTGTCACAAATGCTTGCAAACCGGCGAAGATGTTCATGAGGATCCTCGGTGCTGGCCCCTGAGAAGGTGTACCCATTAGTGATCATATTGATGAAGGCTGGGGAAATCTCCATGTTTGCATCCCCAGCCGAAATGACAACACATGAAGCTCGGGCTCCAGTCCTCCGATTTAGACGAGCCCTGATCGAACGATCCTGTTCAGCCATGATGACATGCTCGATGACGCGCGACGGTGGTGTAGGTGGTGTAGGGATGAAAGGTGGTGACACCTGCCTTCTCGGTTGATGATTCTGAGTTAGGGAAGGCCTAGAAGTTGTGGATGTGGTAGGCTGCTTCCCTAACTTGACCTGCTTCCTGTTAGACGGCAGGTCCTCTCGATCTCGGGATCTAGTGGCAGTAAATTGCCAGTCGTCCTCCTTGGTATGCACGAGGAGGATTAACCAGAAAAATTCACCTGCACACTAACACCCAGATCAAAATAGTTCACTCACCAAAAATCAACAAAAAATAAGGTATGGCAGTCCCCGGCAACGGCGCCAAAAACTTGATAGGGCAAAAGCGTATAGCTTCAATTCCTATCTCGTAGTAAACCGGAAAGTCCGGGTATCGTCACTCAGGGACTGGTACAACCTTATATTTTACCAATTTTATAGAGCAAACTACAGGTGAAAATGGTTTGAGAGATAACTAATTTCTAAAAGCAAAATTAAATAAACAAATTAAGTAATGAAAACTTTCGGGAGAAATTCAATGGGAGAAAGCTCTGGTAGAAACACTGAGATTCACTACCTATCCTATCCAGATTAATTCACATATTCCAATCAATTTAATCCATAGCTCTACAGCCAGGGTATCACGAATGTGCTAGCTATCCCTGTCGGGAATTACTACGTACTAAATAATCAATTCAAATCCTACTGTCGTAGCTCAATGACCTAATTATTTAGCCTGAAGATCGATATCCTATTTAAGACCGCATAGCACCTTATTTAATCCACTGTCGCTTCGATAAGTTACTATGTCACATGAAATAGGTTCAGTTATTAGGGTTTCACTGTCGCTAATAACCTAATTAACTACGATTCATTGTATTGGTGGCCAGTCAACACAAAGCATTAAGTAATTTCATGCAATAGAGATTGGAAGAAAAGAAATATAAATTAATCCATCAAATCAAGAAATAGCTACATCCTAGAGTGTTTCCCCCAGAAATCGGGGTTTAGTTCATGACGAAATTTAGATAAAACAATAGGGTTTTGATCATCATGTTCTAAATCAACAATAAACAACTAGTTTGGTTCAGAAAATCCAACCAACTAATCGCTCTCGTTGAACTCAGCTCAAGCCTTGAAAAACTGATCACCAATCGATAATCGCCCGATGCTTTGACAAGCTCCGCTGCGCTCCTTTTCTTGTCCTTTTTCCAAGAGTTTTCTCTCGCCCCAAAACAGCTTCCGTCCCAAACAAGAGGTTTTCGTCTTTTTTTTTTTGTCCCTGGTTAATTTCGTCCCCCAACAATATTTATTCTCTTTCTCTGTCCGCCAAAAGAAAAGCCTCCTCCAAATAATTGCCAGCCCACCTCCTTTCCTTCCGTCCAAAAATAGTTCACTCCAAAAATTCCCTCGGCCCATTAATTCCAGCCCCGGTTCAACTCCTCAGCAAGTTCCGGTTCAATGTACATCCAGTCCACTTGAATTATTCTATATACCAATGCAAATTTCTCGTTTCATTTACCTGAAATATATAAACATTTGGCACTTGATGGTAATGGTTTTTCAACCATTTCCGGGTTAGCTAGCCCTAAAATAGCACCAATTGGCTAAAACATACCACGGATAATCACATAAAGTCCAATAATCCGATATATTAAAGCCGAATATCACTGAACATCCTCTGCGACTGCCCTCATTTGAAGAGAAAGATATCCAAAAGACAATTAGACTGCTTTATTTATCTTTCATTTAGGCCTAGTCAAAGATTTTTCTGTTTCACTTGAAGCTTAGTCATAGGAGATCTAAAAAAAAGATAAGACCATTTTTCACCCACAAAAAAAAGAAGTCATGATCTAACCACAGCTATCAACGAAGGGAGATGGCAACTTAGTCATAAATGAGTGATCCGAAACTGAAGGCAATTGGCAAGGAAATAATTTATTAACCAAATAAGGAGAGGTTATAAAATATGCTCGATTGAAGGTTTATCATATGCTCGACCAACCGGGAGAGGTTAGAAGTAGCTCGACCTGAAGAACGAAGTTGCTCGCATTTTAATTAGAACAAGAAGGAGAGGAAGGGAATATACTCGAATAAAGTGAGAGGGGGGAATGAACTTGACTTCAATAAAAAATAAGGGGAAAATGCAAAGAGTCAGATTTGAGGAAAAAACATACTAAGGAGATTCACAACATATGTAATATCGGGATTGGTTATCTTTAAATAAAGAAGACGTCCAACTAACCTGTGGTAACGAGCTTCGTTGGTTGCATGAGAATCAATTTCTTTGCTCGGTTTGTGATTTTGTTCAATCGGAAAAACACTAGACCGACATGTTCGTAAACCACTTTCTTGCAAAATATCCAACGCATACTTGTGTTGAGTGAGCACTCAAATCCTGCTAGTGACCGTGCAACCTCAATTCCCATGAAATATTCCAATGGTCCCAGGTCTTTGATGCTGAATTTCTAATCGAGATAATCCTTGATTTGCTAGCTTGGCTATCTTCAAGCTAAAATTATGTCATCAACCGTCCATCTGCATCTTGGATCACTGCACCCAGCCCCACTCCTGTGGAGTCCCTAAGGATGCATCAAAATTAATCTTCACACATCCTCTTGACGGTGGTGACCAAGAAGCACCCCTATTATTCACATTTACAGACAACGGTGTAGATTAAGTTTCTGAAAGTTAAATAAAAAATCCATTGCCATAGAAAAGAAGTTTGTCCCCAACCCAAAAAGAGAGAAATTCTCAAATACCTTCTTATTACGTCCGTGCGTTATGTAAAACTATTCTCTCTGATCTCTGGGCTTATGGATAAGGAAACGTCCGATTTGGTTACACAATTCAATTGGGTGATAGCATCCTAGTGGAAAACCCTTTTGAACTAGACGATTAGAGCCGGAGACATTAGACGAGAATAGTAAGACATACCATGAATACCTAGTTCGAGCCAACTACGGGTCTTCTAAAGCCCATAACGGAACTTATTTGGTAACTTTCCACATCCTATGTATATTCATTGAATTCAGCTACAACATATGAAGTGGTAAGTCTGCTTATCTATTTCTCTTATTATCTTAAGCAATACAAGACTATTCATCTGTTTGACACCGAGGATCCCTATCTACACCAATCAAGGAAATCCTCTTTATCAAATCGTGTAGTAACAGTCAACACAGTAGATGTAACGTGACCAACGCTTTGTCCTTTATATATCCATAATAATAATAATAATAATAATAATAATAAGACTGCAACTGCGTTGAATGATAAAGCCTTATTCTCATTCAATGTGTGAGGAAAAACCTCACCTACTCTCTTGCAATAAATTCTAAGTAGAAATGTACCGATCGCTTTCAAAGTTTCTTCGGAATACGCGAGTTGACAGTGCGTCTTTAAGAAAAAAGGGGCGAAAAAGGTTCTTCTCGATACAATTCAAACGTTATGTTATAGAATCTCCCAACAACAAACATTTTTTGAGAACTATCAATTAATAAACCCCTTACTTCCACATTTTTATAACCCAGGCAACCTTGCGATTCCAAATGTGGATAACCCGGAGCCGATCACCTAATATCATGGTGCTTCTAGAAAACTCCGACCGGCAATTGCTCTTAGCGTAGAAAATACAGGAAAAAGTGAATCATATATCAGAATTCAAACCACAAGGGAAATTGGTGTCAACTTGACTGATCGGAGTTATAGGAGAGTCATTATATCTAGAGATAGATATGTGCGAGCAGGGATATGTGGCACTTTAGTGCGCAGAGACATTCACCCCATAGATAATCTTGTCGATTTAATGCTTTCTTCTCCAAATCCCCTAGTGGGTGCTAAAGCTTCCGGGTAAGCTTATGAGATTTTATCTACGAGGGTTTACACTTTAGAAGGAATAGTACCAATGCTATTACTCCACCAATTGCAATTCCCGAGGTTGAAGAGAGAGGATCGGGCTAAACTGCTGGTTTAAGAGAAAGTAAGAGGTTTGTTTCGGGTGTCCGAACGGTTTAAGCTGAAGTCTGAGTTCCAGAGGATGGAAAAAGCAGGGACACCGTGCGTCCTTGAACCGATAACCATCTTTCGGCTAACCTAGCCTCCTCCGTCCCTCGGGACCAACAAGGGGGTAGTACAGGAATAGTTTCCTAAAATCCATCGACTACGCCTTTCGGCCTGATCTTAGGTGAGAAAGGTCGGCTCGACTAGAAGGAGAGGAACTGACTCACCCTACGTGGACGAACCTTGCGTAGGAACCCTTAGGTTTTCGGGGCATTGGATTCTCACCAATGTTTGCGTTACTCAAGCCGACATTCTCGCTTCCACTTCGTCCACCGTCGCTCGCGCAGGTGCTTCCTTCTAAGGCGGAACGCTCTCCTACCAATGCATTTTTACATTCCAAAGCTTCGACAGATCGCTTAGCTCCATTCATCTTCGGCGGAAGAGCGCTCGATCAGTGATCTATTACGCACTCTTTCAAGGGTGGATGCTTCTAGGGAAACCTCTTCGATGTTTCTGCACCCCTACCTCCTTTATCACTTAGCAATCATTTAGGGGCCTTAGCTGGTGATCCGGGTTGTTTCCCTCTCGAAGCTTAAGCTCATCCCTCATCGTCTCACTGGCTGACCTTGACCCCTATTATTTTGAGGTCATATCTTGTAACACCCCGGTAATTTAGATTTAGTTTCGACCTTAATACGTGATCGGTTGGATTGACGATTACGTACTAAGATTTGCAACCGCGGATTAGAAATAATAATAATAATAATATCTATTATTATTATTACTATTTAAAAAAAAACTTATATATATCCGAGAGGGCCGGGCGCCCTCAATTATTTCCCCACCGTCCCAACTTTTCCCTAAAAATCGCCCCCCCACCATATTCAGTTACACGCAAGAGCTGCAGCAAGCAGCATCAGCCGCGGAGGAAAAAAAAAGTACCGCCGCCCTGCTCCTCATCACGGGCGAGAGGAAAAGAAGAAGAAGTCGCCGCCTCCCTGTGCCCGATCCCGACCCCGAACCCGATCCCATCCCTTTCGTCATAGGTAAGGATCACGAACCCCTTCGTGGTTTCTTAACTCGATTCATCGTTAGACTAATTCGAAGCTCGGATTTTTATTAGCGGTGACGTTGAGGGTTCGATTAACAAGGAGATCAACGTCCCAGGTCATCCAACCTAGGCCTAGGCACTTTCTAGAGGTAAGGGAACTCGATCCCTTTGAGTTAGTTCGATCGATTTGGTGATTTTTCGTTAGGGTGCAATTCTGGGTTTTAGCAACAGGGTTTTCAAGCTTTTAGTGACAATTTTGATTAGTCACTAAAGCTGCTGGGAATTTCTAGAAACATATTTTTAGATATTTTAAATTGTTTCGAGCCTCTATGAAGGTTTTTTTTTCTGAATTTAACAATTTTTTAAATTGAGAGACGTCTAGGAGATGATTTTGATTTAATTTAGTGATTTTTGGAGATGTATTTCTATTTTTAGAAATTGTTTTAATATTCGTTTTAATTAAATAAAAATAATTCCGATGCGTTTATAGGGGTTTGATAATTTTCCAGGGTATAGGTACTCATGATTGATGTAGGAAAATTATGATCTGAATTTTTAAGAATGTTCAAGGTAGGTGGAAGATTCGTCATAGACTAAAATAATTAAGAAAAATAGTCGGTTTTGAAGGGAGTAGTTCTAGAAAAATCTTAAAGGGGGTTAAGGGACCTTTGAGGTGAGTTTTGAGGTTGGGACTTTGATTAGAGGGTGTCTGGGTAGATAAAAAGGAGGCTTTTTAATCGAGAAAGGTTGGCTTAGAGTATGAATTTCTTATTAATAGGTTTCCCCAAGATAATCCGGCTAAGGAGGGGTTTCTGCGAGGAAGGAATTGAGGAGTCATCTTTTCGAGGTGAGTGTAAAGGGGGTAAAATCTCTGTCGAGGTCTTTTTAGTTTATGCTTTTCGTTCAAGTTATTATTTAGTTAACTATTGTGTAATGCGTGATATGTGTGTGAGGCATCCCACCGCCTGTAAGGGTGGAGGCACGCATTGTGCTATGTATGAATGTATGGATGTATGATTGTAATAGTTGGTTAATGGTAAGAGGAACCCCCGGGCGGTTGGGGCACTACTGGACGCAGTAGATGGTCGGATCACTGTCGGACGGCGAGACGTAACGCAGCAGTTGATCGAGTATATTGGGGTCACTACTGGACGGCAAGACGTAACGCAGTAGTTGACCGGGCATGGACTGGACGACGAGACGTAACGCAGTGCCATTGCCGAGTTTGGGTATGCAACTGAATGGCGAGACGTAACGCGGTTGGCATACTAGGGTAGGATACCGGACGGCGAGACGTAACGCGGTGGTCCTAGTGTTTGTGTTTGAGTTAAGGATCAAAGTTGGGAACCACTATGAGTTAAAGTTGAAAGGAGTTATTAAGAACCTAAGTAAGGGAATTCTAAAGATACAATAGGAGTAGAGATCTCTTATAGACTGTTTGATAGTAAAGTTTAAAGGATGAAAGTGAGAACGACTTTCGTCTAAGGAAGGCATTCCCCTAATAACGTGTTTAGTAAGGAGTTTGCCTAGGGCAGAGACCTTAGGAAGTAACGACGAGACTGACCCCTTCTCACTCACCAGGTTGAGGATAGTCTAGCAGAAGTGGATCACAAGAAGAAGCAGGACGAGGCGAGCAGCAGTACTAGCGTCGACGGGATATCGGAAAGCTCGTGAGGAGTCAAGTTAGATTAGTTAATTACTTTGTTTCATGGTTATTAGTATAGACTGGAGATTCTGTGTTAAGTCGTTTTAAGAGTTTGAGATTGAGAATTTCGCCCAAGTGTTGGGGCTTTTCGTTAAAAATTCTTAAATAATGTCAGTTTGTTTATTTTAAAATGTGGTTTGGGTTGCTCCGGAGTAACCGGTTGTTGGTTTGAGTGATGGTTTGGTTTTTGGAAAAGAGACGGGACGTGTCATATCTATTATTCAGAGTTTGCCTTGATTTGGTACCACTCTCACAGCCCGCACCGAAACAGTGCTTTACCCCTAGATGTCCAGTCAACTGCTGCGCCTCAACGCATTTCATGGAGAACCATCTAGCTTTGGGTTCGAGTGGCATTCACTCCTCTCACAGAGTTTGAGTGGAATTCACTCCTCTCACAAATTTCGAGTATATTCGTTCCACTTACAAAGTTCGAGATACTTCGTTCCTACCCTCTACTCTAGTATGCTATTGACTTCCTTCTGTGATCTGCCAACTGCAATACATAGTTCCAAGGGAATGAAGATAGGACGTTGTGCGGTAACTAGAAGTGAGTATACTAAACCTTCACGCCTGCTACTTTTATTGATATTGATGAATGCGGGGTAAGGACTTTTATTAGATAGATGTGGGCTAAGCACTATGTTGACTGAAGCTTTCGGCATCCTAGAAGGACAAGGAGTCATCGAGAGTAGGAAAGATAGTAAAGGGCTTAGTGCTTGCATTTCGGGGTGGAGTAGCGGATTGGGAAGTCATGAAGCTAATTACCATCCTTGCTATTTGCTCCAACAAGGCTTCGCTTTTATTTAAGGTAGCGGGCGGGGCTTAGGTGATGGATTAAGACGAAGAGGGGCGCCCTCTCTCTCCAGGTATGTATACTCTATTTTCCGGCATGCATCTGACGGGGGAGGGGCTTCCTTCTTTCCATATGGGTAGGTAGGCGGGCGCAGCACTGCCTTAAAGCCGGCCTTACGCCTTAAAGCAGTGTCTTAAGGAGGGGGAAAGCAAGCCACGAACAAGGACCTCTCCTCTCATGCTTTGCCAACCCCAATAAGGACCAAAAAGTGCATTACTAATGACCACTGGGGAAGATCCCTTGCCTCTGCTCTTTGAGCGGCTCTATCAACCGAATCATCCGTATCAACTGTGGTGGCTGAATAAACAGTTGGATCCGCTGCTAGCTCGAGCCCCGCCCCTTCCTTCCCCACTCACTCTTATCTTTATCCAAGGAAAGCACATTTTTTTGCTGTATTTTCTTGAGAATTAATTCTAGGCAGAGTCTGAGGTAACGGCACCTCAACATGACCAACGGTCGGGCAATTCACCGGGCTTTTCGTGAAGAAGAGAAGATTTAGGACCTTTTCCGTTAGTCCGGCTAAGCACCAACCAAAGCAAAGATAACCATATGTGCAAGCTCGCTGATCCGCTTTTCCACTCTTCAACACGTTCCTTCCACGAATCGCCCATCTAATAGCCTTTTCTTCGGCTTTCATCTTATCTTAAGTACCGGGTATAGGTAGTTCACGGATGCTTTTTTCTCATCGAACAGCGGAAAAATGAAATACCGGAACTCGAAGGTCACGACGCCCTGCCTTTCCACAACAGATGACGATCAATCAGTCATAGCTTGACCCTCTCCTTTAGAGCGGAACATCCTGGATAGATTTCAAAGAATTAAGGAAAGACTTCTGACTCACTCCTACTGTCACTCTAGAAAATGGGCAAGTGTAACCACTTCCTAAAGCGTAGTATAGCGGGTTTGGGTTTTAATGTCAACCCGAGTCCTAGATGTGATGACTACTCAGCGAATTCTTATTATCTAGCGATGAAACTTTAGTGCAAGTTCAACCAAGCAAACAAGTAAAGCAAGCAATTAAAAGGTTGTTTTCAAGTCGGGAGAGGTCACCCGTTTATGGTTCCTCCTAGACTGCAGTTAAGCCGAAATGTAATTTACCAAGTTCAATTTCTATGATGGTCACACTACGGAAGGTTCTTAAACAGTCTGAAGTCTCGACTAAAGGTCTGCAGACCCTCTCAATCTGAGTCTCCAGCGGGCAATTAACCTCCACCGGAGTAACCAGATTGAGGCCCTAACGAACCAAACCTCCACTACCGAAGTAAATTCGGTACAGAATAGTGAATTGGCTCCTCGACTAAAGTCGCCAATTCACTACCTTCAATTAAGGGTGCTCTATTAACCTAGGCAGATATTCTCTTTCTAGGCTAAAGCAGAAATAACAGGAATTTGATCAGGATTCAAGTCATTCAATCATTCGAGCCTCAATTGAATATAATCAAATCATTAAATCTGTACTTGGGTTCATACAATCAGACCTAACATACAAATCTAGGGTTCTCCATACCCAGATGAATGGGAAAACTACTCCATGGAGAGAGAAGCAAAAACAGATTCAGATGCGGAAACCATACTGTGAAGGATGGGTTTCTACTCCTGGTTGTCAATCGGCACTTCTTCAAGCTCAGGCCGGGCTCCAATGGTAATGAAGATCAAGCTAGGGCACTTGGGAACTCTGGTTCGTCGCTTTCTCTCTCTAGGAATCGCTCTGTCTCTCTCTACCGGGGATTTTTGCCTCCTTCCCGGGCCCCCTTCTGTTTCTCAAAGACGCCCAAAGCTTCAGATCCCCGGTCATCGCCAAATAATACCCCGCCGGGTATT